GAGGACCTCCTCGATGTAAATATAAAGTATTTGAATATAAAGGGCCTTTTCTTGGGTAAAGCAAACAACAATTCATAAATTTAGATCAAATGAACTAGTGAAAACATCATGAGGATTATTCTGAATTAAATTTCTGCCAATAAATTGAACTGCCTTTCACCTAAATCTTACACACTGGACCTTTAACTAGCATTTCTGCGGAAGACACATTGTTGGAAGATGCTAACAATCATGATCAGACATTCCAGTCTGAAGATTGCATGATGGCATGACATTTTATTGTGTGTTTTTGTTTGCAGTAATGTGTAGCCTCTTTGTTTGCATTAACTGGTTTTGTGTGGGCTTTAACACCAACCACAGCATCAGGTGCTATGCTGATATTTCTGCCAAAGGCTCCTGTTGATTATTTATCCACATTTTGGTTGGAGTTAAATTGATTTCGACGTTTTTAGGTGCATTCACCCTGGCAGAGTGAATGAGCCCATTGATGGAGCATGGCATGCCCGCTACCTCCAGAAATGAGTGTGGGGTTGTGGGTCAGTGCTTTGGCATGGTGAATAACAGCCTCAGCAATAGAAGCTTTGTCTCTATCTTTGCTGGCAGCAGAGTGCTGCCTCAGGCCCAGTTCCACCAGCGCCTCCAGGGACAGCAACAACTAGTCTGCCTCCTTCAAAACCTCCCCCACACATGGGCCTGCTGCAGGGCTGTAATTATAAACAGTGAAGAGGTGGAGACCTTTTTGTTTTTGAAGTCGGCATACAATCTGACCACACTGTTGACCTGTAAGAGGGTCAGCCGCCGAGTTGTGAATTTCCTTTCCCCAACAACGACCGGCCAAAACATGTACAGTTGCATGTCATCCTTTCAACCCAGGCTGTCGAGATGGTGTCTAGAAAACAATGTATGCTTCAAAGACGATTTGAGGAGTTTTTGCACAAAACCTGGTCTGATTTTAAGGTCTCAATCTTAGTATGTAAAGTGTCTTGAAATGCTGTATTTTATGATTTGGCGCTATACAAAGAAAATTAATTTGAATTGAATTAGGAAAGGCTTAACTTTATTAGATAGTCATCACCATGATGGTCCAGAGTTGAGACTATGACTTAGAGTTGTAGTCTTTTGCCTGTCAATTTTCAGGCTATTTTCTCTGTGTACTGTTCACATCAAAAATTGAAAATCATCTTCAGTTGCAATATCTATCTGTCAAATATGTCACAAACACAATATGTTACATAGTATGTAACATAATATAACATTTTATTACCATACATTATTTTTTCATCACTGTGCTGCTAACAGAGATGTGCATCTTCACAAGCCTCATGATTTCTGCTTTAAAAAAGTATTTTACTGTTACTTTTATTACATGTGCTGTAATTTACAAAAAAAGTTTTCAATTCAAAAGTCAGACTACAACTGTCGGTCTGTAATAGTGGTCAGTGCTCTCCACATTGATCTGACATTCATTCAGTTGACATTCATTAAGAGTTGTGCGCAGCCTTTGTTGTATTAGAGTGGCCCTGCCTGGTCCCCCTTGGCAGTATTGAGGCGCATAACTCTGCTGGTCAACAAGAGATTATGCTCCTCTGTTCTTTTTAATCACTCACACTTAGAACTGATCTTTATAAAAATGGCTGAATTCATATTTATGTTCCTGGATAAGGATTCTGACATGGTAACAGACCTTTAATTCAATTCAATTTTAATTGTATAATGCCAAATCCTAATATACATTATCTCAAGGCACTTTACATAGATCCAGCATGACGCATGAGTAATCAAAGTGGTATCATACACGTAGAACACACAGAGGAAGATGTCCAGAGTTTGTGGTGATAAGAGCAGACACCAAGAAAATCACATGATCTCTGCAATGGAATTAATACATGACTTCCTGCCTCTGTCTGCTTTACTCAGCTGCACCACCTCTCGCCTGAATAATGCAGAGGATTTGTTGCTACTGTGAATACATCTGTGCAGAGAATCTCCTGCTGCGTTGTGCAAGTTAGTAGATCATGTCTAAAAATGACTGTAGAGAAAAGGGCTGCACATACATGCACTTTTTGAATGTGTGTGAATTGGTAAATGGCAAAAACTGTACAGTAAAAAAAATTTGAATGGTCATCAAGGCTAGAAAAGTAGGATATAAACACAAACCATTTACCATATTCACAATATGGCCATGTCCATCGTCATATCAATATTATAAACTCCTTTAAATTACACCTATTAAAAGATTATGCCATAAATGAATGTGCCATACTTAGCAATGACACGGATTGCCCTAGTAACTTATGGTAAGATTTTTTTTTTTTATTCTCAGTGTTTGTGAATACAGCTTCAGGTCTCTCTGTGTTAAGGCTCCTTCTTGCAGCTGGCAGCCTACTATTGAGAGTAGCCAAATGGCTCCTCCTGTTATCAGCTACTCACGGATGTTTTGCAAAGCTGATTTATGACTTTTAAGTTGTGATATTACATGTCTTTGTAGCCTAGATAAGACAGACGCTGCTTGGATAAAGACTTTTCTCTAAGTTTTCTTGGCAGAAATCGGATATGAAATATGATTTGAAACACTCTTGGCTGTTCTTCATCATTAAACAAGTGTATTCAAGTGTCTTTTAGTTTAGTTCTGGATTGTTTTAATTCATTTTCTCTAAGGCTTGTTTACACTGCACCACACTAAGGTTATGTCCCAGTCTTTTAAATACCTGAAACTCCCACAGGAAGATGTTTCACAAGAGTGTGGTCAGAAGAAAAGTGTGGGGTAACACAAGACATGGCAAGTTCTCATGTCTGTTCTGATCCATGTCACTCTTGACTGTCTTTCTAGTCCCCAGAAACATGCCCTGGACACACTGTTATAAATTTGGTTCCAGGGAGTAAATTACACAAAATTTCTTGAGCAAAGCCACAGGCTGCTCCTGTGGAGTTGCACTTGGGCAAGGAGTTAAAGAGTGCGGTTGCCTTGGCCAGCACCCAGGAATGAGTACTGTATGCACAGAAGGATAGGAAACAACCAAGCACAACTGTTGGTGAACACCCTACAACACATTTTGCTCAATAGCTAACATTAAAAATGTACACTCACATGTTTGTCAGCTACAGCAGCTAAAAATAAGTCTAAAGCCGCAGTGCTGCAATACATCCCTCTTTCATGAAGCTTATAATATTCGTTTTTTTGAAATGGCAATTGATTGATTGAAATGTATTTTTTTGTGTGTTTCTGATCTGTTTTCCATCTGGTCAGTTGCAGGGAGGGCAGACTTAATCAAAAAACCTTCTTCCCCCTTAAGCAGAGACTAGATGTTGCATCTTGAAGTGCTGGGTAAAATCCTGAAAAGGAAGGTTTTGGAGCTTTGCAGTTCGATAAACATTTTAAAGCTGGAATAAATAATATTATCCAAAAGCTCATACTTAACCTGGTCTCAACAATATTTCTGTTACTGTATTACATGTTGAGCAAATCTCAAGTAATAACCAAGTGATTTTCTGATAATTAACCTTTATGATTATTTGACTTAATTTTAGCAATTAGTGTTTGATAATTATTCTTATTTTGATATTAGTGTAATAGTTTTATCCATTAAACAGTGTTCACTCATCCTACCAATGATACAGCAAAAGGACTGTCTGCTCCCATTAGGGCATAGACTAATTATGCAATATTCAAAAATATGTGAGAGCAGCATTAAGGCTGTTGATTCTTGTTTGGTTTGACTGATATATTGGCACAAGCTAATTTAATAATAACTACCAGCGAAACACAGAACTAAGATTTTTGATGAGCTTGAAAGAGAAGGTGATTCAAGAGTTGATGAGAGCATATATTATCATATCCTCAAGGTTAGTTTGAAGTTGTTCATTTTTGAATATTTTTTATGAACTATATTCTTGGGTATTTTCAGCCATTACTGGTGTAGAGATAGTTGGTGAGCCAGTGGTGTGCCTGTAAATGGTGTTTTGTTAATGAGCAGAAGCATTTACATTGGCAACGTCGAGCACAAGAGTACAAATGAAAATGCAGCACACAAGTTAACACAGCTTCATCATTGTCCTGTTTAAACCTAAATTAATGAGTTGCACTGTATGTGCAGAAAGAATGCACTTGGGAAAGCCTTTTTTTGTTGTCAAATAGGGTTTAATGGATGAATAAAGATTCATGTGTGTAAGACAGTCAGTGGCAAAAACAGTGCATTGCCCTGCAGCTTTATAGCTACTTTCAGACATGCAGTAAACTCTGCAATCATCTCCTGAAATTATATGGAGGGGCTGTATGTGAAAACTCAATTGTCCAAATCAGTTGCTGCGGACACTTTCTGGAGTTTTTCCTGTCACCCACAAGTAGAAACTCTGTATAATGTAAGAGTGATCCCATGTGAGAATACAGCGGGAGATTATCCGGTGGATTCACTTAAAAGCGACTGTGTGTGTTGTCACGACTTGGCTCAGAAGCTGTGACAAAAGAGAGGGAGACACTGGTTGAAAGTCATAAAAATAAGTCATTTATTTGCATACAGATCTCATAGCTGAAAAGAGAGGGTTCCTTCATGTAGATGATGTCAACTTGTAAAGATGATGAGATTTGAGAGCTTTTGGTGATAAGGGCTGACACTGGTTTTAATGTGCTGTAAACAAAAAAGTGATCTTCCTGGTAAAATGTATACATTACATCCTGCCTCCTGCATGCTGTGTCACCACTTGCATTGACACTCTGGAGATCATTCTGTTGTTGTGAAGGTATCTAAGCAAAGAAGTCTGGACCCCACTGTGTGGACATGTCTGGAGTTGATGTCTTTAAACAGCTTGTCTAGTCCTTGTGCTCCTCTGTCAGAATAAAATAGTGATTCTGCAGAGCTTCCCTTTCCTTTGACTGATATGAATATGTTAAACTTCCCTTCTGAGTATGGACTAGAGAATGGTTGGCGTCTGTGAACTTTTTAAGTAAATCAAAAGTAGAGAATTCATCAGATGCTTTCGTGTCTTTGTTTGTTTCCATTCAGAAAATGTTCAAGATGAAGGCAACTTGCTGCCACGATTGACGCCCCAGTGCGCTGAACTGAACAAGAAGTCCTGACGAGGTAACATACGAATGGCCCAGGGAAGCCACCAGATTGACATTCAGGTTTTGCATGACCTGCGCCAGAAGTTCCCTGAAGTCCCAGAGGGTGTTGTCTCCCAGTGTGTTCTGCAGGTAAGCATGTTCAAACTCTCCAAACCCAGCAGAAATGCGGTTGTATTCACAAAGAAATAAAGATTTTAATAATCCCTTAAGGGCATAACATCAAGGCCAGTCTTTACCTCTCAATTCTTGTGATACTGTCTCTTAAGCCCTGTTAGACCTGGTATCAACATCTGTCCCAAAATGTCACAAGTAGAAAATGTGTCAGTTAACACCTGGCATGCAATACAGTCATGAGGAGTTGATGCAGATCCACTCAATTCTTAACATTAAAACAAACAGCGTTTGTGCTTGCGTGACATAAGCTTCAATTTTAAAAGATAGTTTAAAGCAAATTATTGTAAAATAGCAAAAATGAACAGTTTCCTCCAAGTTCGCACATACATATCTATGAATCCTATGCTCTGTTTTGTGAATGAGGCCTCTGAGTCTAAACAGGGCCTGAATAATCAGATCTCAAATGTGTCAACAAGGTGTCCTGGGTGTGTTCACACCTGAACTTGAAGCTGTCCACTTTTGATTGGATCGCTTATGTCTTTTCTTTGCCCTCCGTCAGACATTAATATTGCATAATATTTCCACTCTCTCTCTTTTTCCTTCAGAACAACAACAACTTAGACGCCTGCTGTGAATACCTGTCTCAAGTCAGTCCGGGCTACCTATACAGTGAAGAAGGAAATCTCAGCTTTTCTGACGACCCCAGCTTCATCAGGCTCCGTAATCACATGACCCAGCTGAACCTGGGCCTGCAGTCTCAGAATGTGCATGTGGCTCCGGTTCGGGATGGCCTGAGAATGAACGGCAGTCGGACTTTGGCTCACAGCCCGGGTGACGGGCCCCTCCAGACAGGCCAGGCCCCCAATAGTGACTTCTTTCAGCAGGAGTCCCAGTCAGCCTCAGTGAAGGTGCCATCAAGCCTCAATGTATTTGGTGTGATGGAACCCACACGCAAACCGCAGCCTCCACAGCACCTTGGACTTTACCCTCTGGGTGTCAAAGGAACAGCAATGGGTGCCCAACAGACGCCACGCTACAACCCCTTTACAGTGACGCTAGCCCCCAATATCCATCCAGGCCGTAAAACCCCCACTTCTTTGCACATACATGGTGGGCCACAGTCGGGCCTCAGCAGTCCACAGGGTAACTCCATCTATATCAGGCCCTATGTTAGCCAGACCGGTACAACTCGGCATAACCAGCAGCAGGGAAGTAGGGCCCAGTACAGCCCCACTTCCCAGCCCCAGCAGCAGATCTACCAGATCTCACACCCCTCCTCCCTGTCTGGCTCCTGGTCCGGCCCTCAGCACGCCTCCTCTTCACATACCTCACAGCACCAGACCCAGGGCCACCAGACCTCTCATGTCTACATGCCCATCAGCTCCCCCACAAATCCCCAGGCCCCCTCCATTCTTCCCATTGGAAGCCAGGCCTCTTCCTCTGGTGTCTCCTCATGCTCATCTTCCTCCTCCTCTGTCATGCCCACCTCTTCTACCATTAGCCAGTACAACATCCAGAACATCTCCACTGGCCCACGGAAGAATCAGATAGAGATCAAACTTGAATCTCCTCAGAGGAGCAACTCCACAACCACAACAGCTGTGCTGCGGACAAGCAGTGGGCCCCGTTCATCCTCCACCTCCTCCTCCTGTCCCTCCTCTTCGTCCTCCTCGACGGGGGTGGCTACTGTCCCCACCACCCCTCTGTCAATCGGATGCCCAGGTCTGAGCCGCAGCCAGCCGACTGTTTACATCTCTGCCAGCCCACCTACTGCTGCTACCACTCCCTCTGAGGAGGCCGTTGTGGCCTCAGGCGGCTCCCGCTCCCAACCCAAGTTTTACATTTCTGCCAATGCCTCCAGCGACTATGGTGGGGGAAGGAATCCTCCCACAGTCTACATCTCAGCCAACCCTTCTTTGCAGGGGCCATCAGGGCCCAGAAACATGGGAGGCCAAGTGAGCATGGGACCCGCTTACATCCACCACCATCCACCGAAGTCTCGTGCCTCTGTGGGAGGAGGAGGCACAGCTTCTTCCCCTCGTGTGGTGGTGACTCAGCCCAACACCAAATACACTTTTAAAATCACAGTGTCCCCCAATAAGCCACCAGCTGTGTCCCCTGGAGTAGTGTCTCCTACTTTTGAGCCCAACAACCTCCTCAGCCTGCCCTCAGACCACCACTTTGTGGAGCCAGACCCCCTCCATCTCTCAGACCCCCTGTCACCACATAGGGACAGGCCGAGTGAGCCTCGCAGACTCAGCATGAGTTCCGATGATGCGGCGTACACACAAGGTGAGCAATGCTGTGTATCATCACTGTGAATGTAATCTAATCATTTCTAGTAACCTGACACTTCTTATTTCCTGGAAACAAAAGCAGAAGACAAAGCATTTAAGGTCCAGTGTGTAAGATGTAGGTGAAAGGGATCTATTGGCATAAATTCAATATAAAATAATCCTAGTGATATTTTCACTACTGTGTTTCATCTACATTGTACAAATGTTTTTTTTTCTTTAACCTAGAATGGGCCCTTTATATTCAAATACTTCATATTTACATCGAGAGGGGGGTCCTCTCTACAGAGGCCACCATATTTTTTACACCGAACAAGACAAACTAAACACCTTTTGAATTTTTATGACAACTGAAGTCTACCAAAGGTTTTATTGCATGTAACTAAATTTTACACACTGAACCTTTAATGAATCCCAAAGGAATGTTCAAGTATTTAGGTTCATACTCAATAGAAAATTCTAGATAAAATGATAAATTACAAACTCTGTAAAAAAACTGTTTTTGATTTTATTTTAAATGCCCCACATTATTATTGCTTTGTAAGGAAGCTCAGTTCTTTTGCTTAAAGGCCTCCAAATACATGCTGTAGATAAAGAGGTAACAACACAGCACGGTGAATCCTTACATGAAGAACACTTCTGATTTTCTGTTAGAACAGTTTGCTTCACTGTTTATTGGTTGTTTAGCAAATGTCAAGTGGCCTGAAGTGTGCACTTCCTCTGTAGCCATATTGTGCCTTATTCAGGCGAAAGGAAAGATTTTTATAAATAATAAATATAGTTTTTAGCTACCAGCTGTAGACCTTAATGCTTTTTCCACAACCTCCTGCCAAGAAAGTAATTTTATAATAGAAGTATTCTTCGTGGTTTCAGAAGACACTTTCCATAACATGACTGTAATGCATTTCTTGAGCCAAGCTGTGTATACTTGCTGTCACTAATGTTCAGTCAGTGCAGAAATACTCATTTGCATGTCTTGCACTTGCACTCATCTCCATGAGGTAGATAAAGTGACTCGCTGAGTGAGGGCTTGTGAGATGACTATAGTGTGAGTCCTCCACACCAAATGCTGTGTTTTCTCCATTAGCCCCTGAGACTGGCAGATTCTGTAGCATGAGTCAAATGTGTCAGAGCTCACTGTTGTTGCCTTTTTTGGGCTTTTGACTGTATAAGTCACTGGCTGTGGCTCCAGCACTGCAGGGAGAACAACGAAGATGGGCTTCACACTAGACACGTTGCCACTGCTACTGACCCTCATCAGCCCATTTTCTCTTTATTTTATCTGCTTTGGTTTGGGAATAAAAAAGTAATAAAACATTTTTGTTACTGTGCCAGGTTTCCCATACATTGACTTCTTTGTGGAGGCCCAGCATAGTCAGGCCACATATTGATTTTATGGTTCAAATCTGCAAAATGTCAGCATTTATTTTTCATATGATACAATTTGGAGCAGTGGCGCTTTTGTTGAGCTGTTCAGTTATTTATTTGTCACAAAGTACTTTGCAATGAAAATATTTGCAGTGGACTTCCTGCCACAAATCAAATTCTGTCATCGTCACATTCAGAGCTGCTCCTGTCACCACATAATTGTTAATCAAACATAAATGTATTCATTGTCACCAGTCACCTTTTTCTGTCTGACAGCAGAATAATAATAATAATAATAATATTGATGGTGATTATATTATCATGATTACACAGAACACTGTGCAATACACTCAGAATGTATTTGGCTCAATCAAACAGAACCTGTACAGTACATCTGGTGCCAAAAGATATAAGTCTTGATTATGTTCATTACTGGTTTGCTTTTTTTTTTAATTTACAACATAAGTTATATTTATAAAAGAACAGCTGTTTAATGAAAATAGATAATAACATGATGTTGGCTGCCATACTTTGGCTCAGTTCTATAGAGCTCACGTTCAGTGAAAGCAATAACAGAGGTGACAGAAAAGAGTAAGTGAGAAAGTCATGATCAAACAACATGGATGCAAGTTTTGTTCATGATGTTTCTGACCAAAGGTATTTTAGAAACTAAGTGTGTGAGCTGCAGAGGTGTAGGCTGTCACAGTGACAAAGATTAAAACTGTAGGTCTTACCATGAGGTAGCCATGTGATTAACACAGCTGCTTCTAGATTTCTGGCTGCTCCACTGATTTTAACACGGACTAATACAACCTGATAAACACACACAGACTAAAAAGACACATGAAAACAAAGTTCTGTGATACCACCATCTTTTCATAACCGTTTCAATCCTCTACGGTTCAAATTCCGTACTCAACATGTATTAACTTGCTTCTGTTTAATTTCTTTCACTCTCCAGGCTCTGTCCCCATTCTCCCCACTCACAAACACAACGTCGCACTTAATTAGTCACACAGTCACTTGCTCAAGAAAGTGGTGGAAGAGTGTGTGAAAAATTTAACTCAATATTTACAACGTAGTAATTTACTATATTCCACAAAGAATTTGTTTATGTTCAAGATCTATCCTCACAGTGAAACTTGGCAGTACATTACCAAATCCCAGTGCCAGTCTAAATGTTTTAAACCCAACCCAAACGAGCAACATTTGGCCTTTTCTGTTCAGTATAAACATTTACAGTCTCTTTTTTGACTTTTAGCTGATGCACTCTCTCATTTTATTGCGTATTGATGAAGCGGACAACAGTTTAACTTAAGCACTTTGACTGGCGATAGAGTGGATGATCGTACCTTCGCTGGACATGAACATTTAGGCCATAAGTCCACAGTGTGAAGTAGTATCATGTGTGTAGCAGGTGAGATAGTTGTTTATCATTAGATGTCTCTGAAGGAGGTGTCACAACCTGTCAGCAAGCACATAGCCATAATAAATGAATGAGAAAGCGGCTGTAGAGACAAGAGACCACGCATGACTCAGGCTCTGCATTAAACACTATGTTCTTGCCTGCAGCAGACAGCTCACTGGGGTAAGAATGATCTCCTCATTTTACCACAGTAGGTGATGAAACATATTGAAAGACAACAGGAAGGGATCTGTGTAGTTCCCCTGTCTCTCTCTACAGTTTACAGTTGTTTTGAACAGGGAATTATGCTCAGAACTGGTTTGGCTGGTGTATGTAGGTTGTGTTCTGTGCTGGAAATGTGTCAGTCCTTTATCCACAGAAATGGTCCTCTTAGATTGTTGTCTCCAACAGTTTTTGTTGTGTTCTCCGCTTTGATCATATTTTGTAGTTATAAATTCAACAATAACGCCAATTATATAAATAGTTTTTATTTATTAACTTCCCAGGCAAATTTGCATTCTCTGTAAAAAGGTAACAGTTGCTGACAGTACTTTCTCTTTGTGCTCTTGCTTCTTCTTCCAGCGTTGTTGGTCCACCAGAAGGCGCGCATGGAGAGGCTGTGGCACGAGCTGGAGATGAAAAAGAAGAAGCTGGAGAAGCTAAAAGAGGAGGTGAACGAGATGGAGAACGACCTTACCAGGAGACGGCTGGAAAGATCCAACTCAGCCTCCCAAATTCCTTCTGTAAGCTCAGTTCACAGATTTAACAGACAGAAATCAGCTGCAGTGTGATATTACTAAGTTGGTTGTGTGCTTTCAAAACTGGGATACTTTCAATGGCAAGATGTCGAAGGTCTGTGATTAAGTGTCTTCAGACATGTTCTTCATAACTGCAAATACATATTTTTCTGGTTATTACCAAGAGATAAATGGAATCTGGGTCACTCCACCACTCTTGGTCTCCTGGCACATCCGTGCTGATTACAGGGTCTGTTTATGATTTGGCTAATATCGCTCCACATTTCAGACTGACAGAGCACACAGTCTAGATCAAATTCACTCCACAGTTCAAACAGCAGCAGCCTCTGCAGCTACTTCAGGGAACATATAAACAGAAATTGAACATGTTTTTAATATTCAATGTCTGCTCAATTTCATCCTGGTCTTAGATTTACAGCTGTGAGTTTGTTGAAACCTCCTGGAAGTTCTTCTGGCTTTTTGTTGAGTCAGCTGTTTTGCCAGCTATTACAGTCTGAGTGAGCAGAGGAGGAGAGTGGCTGTGGCAGGTTAATTTGCTGCTGTTGCTGAGCTCAGTAGCTCTTTGGTTTAGTGTTGTTTACTGAGGCGAGCCAGCACTGGAGAGTGGAGCTGCTCTCCCCCTGTCATAGATCTGCTCCACTCATAGAAGCTTGATTTCTTAATGTCTTGTGCCTGAGGATAAACTTTGAGCTTCTGGTGTCCTTCTCTGTCAGATCGAGGAAATGAAGCAGTTGCGATGCAAAAACAGGTTACTGCAGATCGACATCGACTGCCTCACCAAAGAAATTGATCTCCTTCAAACAAGAGGTAAGAATCTGTATGTCTTTCCTTTCTTTGCCATATAACATTTAATACTCGTTTATTGGAATTTTCTACTGGCATCCAACTGATATGCCTGTCTGTGTTGTTTGATAATTGAGTCAACGGTAAGTTATTAAGTGCGACTCAGGACCTTCAACTGTAGCACATAGGTCAGGCCTGCTCACATCCTCTCTGCATCCTTCCTGAATTGCATCCTTTTCCTGGTCGGTAATAAGGGATTAATTGGTCCCCTGGCAACACTCTGCTGTTGCCAACAGCCAACTGGTTTACACAGGTGAAGTAAGGTCTGTGGCGATTTATGCAGATATCAATTCTCTGTCAAGTCACACTCATCTTGTATAATTTATATTTTTACAAATTAGAATTTAGATTAATTGTGAATATAGAGAAGTGATGGATATGGAGGGAATTCATGCAGTTGAGTCAAACTCTACTCTTAACATCTGTGTGGTTTCCACCTTTTCATGAAATTAATATATGACACTCATGCTGTTTACGCATTTATTTATAAATTCATATTTTGAATACTGCTGTAAAACTTTGCACATGATAATAATTATCTTGATAGTCTCTGTCCCCTCTGCAGCACAGTGAGGCTTGTAACATACATACTGATGGTTTGAGTGGACACATGTGCTCTTACTCCAGGTGTTCTCTTTTTGACACAATGAACAATATACATTCACTGTTTGATGTAGAGGTTCCACTCTGCTTCCTTCCATCTGCAGGACCACACTTTAATCCCAGTGCAATCCATAATTTCTATGACAACATTGGATTCCTTGGTCCTGTCCCACCCAAACCCAAAGGTACTTTATCTATTGGTAAGTTTATTACGGTCATTACTCCAAAGTCCTATTTTCCATGTCGACATTCCTTTCAACCATTTGATTTGATGTATAATTGAGCCTATTAATAGATTATTAATAACTACATCATGTTATATCTGTCAAAACTCCACCTTGCTTTGTTATTAAAGCCACGTTTACAAGCCAAGTACAAGTGAATTTCACCAAGGTGTGGATCAATAAAGTTCTATCTAATCTAATCTAAGCCTGGCCCTCAAAGAAGGGAGGGCTTTCTCAGTAAAGCTGATGCTTTGTAGATTCATTGGAGAAAAAGTTACAAGCTTTTTGAGGCTACACTTCCAAATTTGAATCAACAAGTGACCAGCGCTCTGGAGCAGTGAGATGGGGTGGGACAGTATGCCAACAGTCAATCTGCTGACTCAGTTGAACGTGACCAATACTGTAATTTATCTGAGGACAGATAAATTACAGTATTGGTCAGCAACTGGCTGCCTGTGGCCAATAGTCCTGCCAGATCATTTTGATTAATTTACTATTTTTATTTCACCATATTGGACTGACAAGACATTCACGGATAAACCAGGTGGTGATCTCCTTCATGGCAACAACATTTATTAAATCATTTCCTCTTTAGCAAGTAGTCTTCAAAGTAAAAGCACAAGGTTCATTTTGTTGCTTAAAAGGTTGAGTGTGTAGAATTTAGAGGTGAAGTTGTATGTTGCAGCTGAATACTCCTCATCTCCCCCTCCCCCTCCCAACATGCAAGAGAACCTGTGGTGAACTTCAGTTGTCATGAAAACTCAACAGGTTTTATTTTGTCCAGTTTGGACGACAGTAAAAAACACGGCGGCCTCCACAGAGAGAAACCCCTTCATGTCAATATAAATAAATAAATATAAAGTTTTTAAATATAAAGGATTATTTTATGGTAAAAAATACATTTCATACAATTTAGATGAAAGACACCAGTGAAAACATCGCTAGGATTATTTTATATTCAATTTCTGCCAAAAATCCATTTCACCTAAATCTTACACTCTGAACCTTTAAATGCTTTATATTGAGCTGAAGTACCGAGCTTTTATTTTGAAAAGTTGTGAACTTGGGTCTGAAGATTGTGTTGATTGCTTAACAAAAACCTCTGAAACAGCTGACATGCAATGTATGAAACAGTCAAGCAAGTAAATTATGAATTTATTCATTAAGCCACACACATGAACAATAAATCAAATTCAGTTTTAATTTTATGAAAAACTATCAATTCTTCGTTGCAGATAAATCAGGGAGAATGAGCACAAAGTTTTCTAATTTAACACTGCACTCTTCCCTGTTCCACATGCCTAAGTGTCCTTGGGCAAGATACGGAACCCCAAAAACTGAACTGTAAAGCGCTTTGACTGGTCATCAAGACTAGAAAAGCTCTATATTAATAAAAAACATTTCCATCATTCATACTCTGCTGGCACAGCCGTCAATGGAAATTTGGGGTTCAGTATCTTGCCCAAGGACACTTCGGTATGGGGGGACAGGTATCAAACCGTTGACCTTCTGGTTAGTGGAAAAACAGATTTCTAGTCAGAATGAATACTTTACTTAACTTGCTTTATTTTTTCATATTCATGTCAGCTTTTAAGCAATCGACACAATCTTCAGACCAAAGCTCACAACTTTTCAAAATAAAAGCTTTGTTATTCAGCTCAATATAAAACATTTAAGCAACATAACACGTGATTTGGGCCTTATTGTCATTAACAATGTTGTGCTGCACAGCCATGAAACAACAGGTTGTTATTCCATCAACCACTCGTGTTTGTTGTAGCTCACAACTTCTCTAAGTCAAAATGTGTAACTTTGTGTTTCCTGAGAATTGGTCTGAAATAACTCTGCTATTGCTTTGGCAATCGAAGGGTGATTCAATAATTACTTAGAAACTAGTTGCTATGGATGCAGGTTTCATCAGTTGTCTGCTTATGAGTGACTTGTCTGTCATTGTCGTCAGTGTTGCTGGAGGGTAGGCCCTTCATTACCGAACTAAGTACAAAAGGAAAGTTACTGTAGGTCAGATTATTTGAACTATCTGTTGACAGATTTCTGTCATGCCTCGTTAGCCTGTTGCTCTCAACAATGGTCCACTTAATCAGCTGAGTCAGTGTGCTGCTGACGGGATAGATCAAATCCGCTGATGGATATATCTATAGATATACTGTATATAGATATATACATGTAGTGTATATTGATACATGGCGTGGCTGCTGTATCTTGTAATTTATTTTCATACACTTACTATTTTACTTTTACTTTGTCCATCCCCAGGGGATGGCAGCAGGATGCCCTATGGGTAGAAAGCAGGGCAGTGGAGGCAGTGTGCTGCTCCGAGCAGTGTTCTCTGACTTGACACTGATGCAGACCAAACACATTTATTTATGGCTACAGTGTTCCCTGATGGCAGTGGCCTCTTTCAGCAGGACTGGTGTTGGGAACATGACAACACGAGTTAAATTTGTTGACTCAGCCTCCAAATTATCTAGATCTCAAATTCATTAAGCAACTTAAGCAGGTTTTAATATTGTGAATAATCACTGTGTATTTTCAGTTTTTCTTGTTAATGCCTCACATTTATCCTGTGACCTGCAGTTTGGGAAACACTGATCTAACAATAGCTTTAATACTGATGTTAATGTGTTGCTTCAACAAGAGCGTTTCTTTTTGATGACACTTTTTATTCCTGAACTCCATGTTCATGCTCTTTGGACTATTTGGAAGCATTTTTGAGCAGACATGCAGCTGTGTTAATCCTCTGACCTAAAAAAGCCCTCCAGGTTGTATGTTTACATTAGATCACTGCCAAATAGACAATAATCCGATTGCTGCAGCTCATTGAAGCACGCTGAGCACAAGCAGTGTTCACCGCTCCGCAGCCACGTGTGCACAAAATATTTTCGATTTATTCATTACTTCTTGCATAAACGTAATGATTGTATCCTGCACTGAGCCCTTCTTCTTCTTCTCCTCGTCCTTGTCACAGACTCGGGCAGTAAGATCGTGAAGCCCGTTGCAGACCAGGAGGAGGACGAGGGGACGCAGTGGAGCTGCACAGCCTGCACCTTCCTCAACCACCCCGCCCTCAACCGCTGTGAACAGTGCGAGTTCCCGCGGCACTTCTGAGCCAACCAGGCTGCACCGCGCCGCTATCTCCTCTGCCCACCTGTGTTTCACCAGACTAGAATAGAAAGGGGGCTCCCTCCTTCTCTTTCTTTTTTCCCTACATGTATGAAAACTGGGACAGGGCGTGGTCTTTGTGCATTGTGCGGCCTCCTTGTTTTTTTTTTTTTTTCCTCCTCTTTTCTGTTTCCTCTATAAGGTTTTTGTTGAATGCTGTCCACTGAAGGCTTGACTGGATAGTGTTTACAACTTGTGTTTTTCCTAAAGGCCAGAGTCGGATGATACCTCACCTCAGAGACTTGGAGTGCGTGGGGTCACTTCCCCCTTTGTTTCTGCTCGACGGGTGACACTTTGCGCCCTGGGCTACCTCGCTGCTCCCACTTACAGTATTACGAGCGTGGCCCTGCAGTGTGACGGCACACACACAAACACACACACACAACAGATACACAGACACACACACACACACAGAACACAGGTGCCAATGTGCCTTTTGCTGAATGAATACATTAGTTTTTCTTCCTTTGTGGTGGCATGACTGGGGGATTGGGAACTTTTCAGCCACCGCTCTCCTTCTGAAGGGAAAACTGACAGACTACTCTTGGACTTTTAAGTTTGTTTGCTGTTTTTCTAGAGGATGTCAAAGGGGGAACTCAAACATGCCTCTTTTCCTGCCCTTTCAGTTTCCCTCTTCTGTCTCTTCAGTCATTAGTTATTAAAAAAAGAAATTAAGTTGCATGCTTTGTGTACAGTACACGGAGGCAGAAACTCCCCATGAGCTTTTTACTGTACATAATTTAGAATGTGCCTTAAAAGCCTTCTTCCTCACACTATGAATCACTTGTATTTCCTGTAAGTATAGCTTTATAGACTTTATTAACTTTTTTGTCTTGTTTTGTTTCCCTCTTTCAAATCAATAAGCACCGTGCTCCCTTTTTAAGCTTTTTACTTGATATCTGTGAGAGTTGAAGCCTTGCAGAAGGAGAGGAACAGAGCAGTCATCATGAAGCTACGCCTGCCAGGTCCGTTCATCGCTCGTGAAAATGCTGAGTTCCCTGTGTACGATCTGCAGATGCAGCAAAGTGGAAGGCCATGGAGGAGATTTTTTTTTGTTTTGTTTTTCTTTTCTTTACTTCAGGACACCAAATATGTTCAGGACTGTCGGGGAGGGAATGGGACAAAAAGCCAAATCACAAACTGCCATCTTATCTGACAACTGGAATGTAGGTTTAATGTTTGGGGACGAAGACACCTCAGTGCAAAGAGACTCATTTTCAAGTAGAATCATTGTGTCACTGCAGAGTAATGTCATAGTGCTCCTGGAACAGCTGATTGGATGAAAAGTGTCCACGTTGCTGTGCACCTGAATTGGGTTTGTGTGAGGTCCACAGATCAGTGAATGGGTTTCTGTTTAAATTGTTCCTATAACACAGAAATATACATATAAGTCCAACATGTCGCCGTTTTTTACAGCATCTCTGAAGCAGACAAGGCAAAAAAATAAAAAACAAGACCTCGTGTTTTAAGCAAATATAAGCACTACGTTACTGTCCACTTAGTATACTCTTCCTTTTATTTGGCTCCATTCATCCTCCGAAGTGTGTATTGACAAGGGGGGTTCCTAAAGTTTACTTATTATCATTAACTTACCTTAACTGTGGAGTAATTACCTTTTTCCACCTTTGTGAAATGCCTTGCATTAGTGCCTTTAGAACTATTAAATTTGTATTGATAATCTATTTTGTCACATCCAAGTGCCATTTTAAAAACCAAAACCTTACTATTGTTTCAACCCATTTAAGAGTAGAAGATGAAATATTGTCTCTTAAGCACTTACATCAAACCTTTTCCTTTTTCCAAACCAAAGAAACCAGTTTCCAGCTTCATCTGCACCTCGGTGTGAAGAGGCAGTTTATTCATGTTTTATTAAATGGAAAAAAATCATTTGGATATCTAAAGTGTTTTTTTTTTTTTGAACATTTGATTTTAGCTGGGAAAACTGTCTTTGTAACAGATAAGTTATTTGTAAAAATGATAAAAAAAAATCTATTCTGAATGTTTGTGTGTCTTTGTGATGCTCCACTCAGATTATAATTATTATGGCTGTTATACGATTTTCTCCACCAGATGGCAGAACAAATGTAGGCTCATGGCAATCATTACTCACCACCAGTTGAGACTAATGGACAGATATGAATGGGTCAGGATTTAAAGGGGCACTCTGCATATTTTACACATTAAAAGAACATTTCATTGCATTTGATGTTTTACAGGGATATGTTGCAATTTGTCAATAAGTTGGGTGATGTCATCTGTAAAGAAACTTGATTCCTTGAAAAGAATTCTCTGATGATGTCATCGGGTTTATCATGCCATTGAGACAAACAGGTGTGTAAGTCTGGAGCTGTGAAAAGTCATCCGGTGAGTCAAAGGTGTACGGGAGAATCCAAAGATTAATACATGAAGCACTTTTGATGATGAAAGTTAGCTGCTGACATGTAGTCGGTTTTTTTAAGCTTTACTAAACTATCCACATGCCTCAAATTTCCTGTGATAGAAATTCAACAGACTCCAACTGCTCAAATATCATGATCAAATTAGTGTGAGAGGAATGACAGTGCTCAGAGAAAAGGTAGAATAGATCAAGCAATGAATGTGTTCCATCATGATTCTGATTTTATTTGGTCACATTTTTAGTATCACTTTGGGAACAAACCTGTGAAATGTGGTGCAGCTCCAAATACAAATCTGAATCTGGTGAATGTGATCTCAAAGATGGACTGTTGGGCCTTGGTGGAGGCATGGGAGTGCCCTTGTAGTTGTCAATTGAATTCATTAGCCTGGTCAGAAGGGAGTCTGCAGGTCCAGGACTTGCTAGATGGCAGCAGCTGATACGGACTCTGCCGTTGGTGGTTGGGCTCTTAATTAATTCTCCAGGCTTTGCTGATGCAAAGACACTCTAATTTGTTTTGCCAACTCACAGCAGCTCTTAGTCTTTTTACAACTTAATAAACTGTGTGTGAGTTAGTGGTGCATTAAGGTGGTTTCTAATTTGTCCATGAGGTTCTGGTCATATGTTAAGAGCTACATCCATTTGAACCAAATAACACACAGGACTGAAGCTGCCTCTCCAGACTAAAAGCTGTCAGCGTGTTACAGCAGGTTTGCGGAAGCTAAACTCGAAGCTTTAACCACCAGAGAGCAGTGCAGCAACATGACTCATTAAAGCACATGTCCAGAAGTATGTGGACTCTAAATATGAATATTTCACTCCAGAGTTATTTAAGTGCTTTTATTTCACAGGCACAAAAAACCCAGCACAGGTGGATGACATTCTTTACAGAAGTACAGAATATAGCATTCCTCACTTTGAGGCAACATGAGAACAACAACACATGCTGCTTCAATGAAACATTTTTCAGTGCTACTGAAAGTAGCATGTATGGAGCTTAGTGCATTGCACATGTACACAGGGTTAGGAAAATGTATTCAGTCTGCTACAATTCCAAGACTTCATCAGACTGAGTCAGTTCTTAATGCTTTGAATAAAGGGGACATTTGTTCTGTGATGAGTATGAATTATAATATAAATTCACAGTCACTTTATGAAGAGTTGAAACCTTTCAGATTTGTCTTTGTTTTCAGTCTGCTTGTGAGATGACAAAATTCAACGTTCAGCTCAATTTCAGTAAAAAAAAACAGTCTCTCCATCTCAAAGGGAGAAGTGGCTGGTCCTGTAGCTCTGGATGAGAGGAATCAGTTCGGACATGTCTGAGATTTCTGGGTAAGCATTCATGACCTGCTCCACAGTGCTTTGGGGGAAGAGGGTGCTCAGCTGGCTCCTCAGGGCCTTCCTCTGCTTGCTGCATGGACTCTTGTCCTGGCCGTTGACCCGGGTATCAAAAAGGCTGCCCTGCACCCATGGGTCTCTGGGCATGGTGTAAGTCTCTCTGCTGGACGGCTGCCTGAAGAACGGTTTTTCAGAAACATGGCTGGAACATTCTCCGTTATGTGGAGGCAGAAGTGGGCAGGAGGACCATGTTGTCTGCTGCTGCTGGTGGTGGTGGTGGTGGTGGTTGGGGGGCGGGGACATCCTGGTCTGCTGGTGACCCCACCTGCACTGGCTGCACACAGGGTGCATGCAGGATAGTGAGGGGCTTTGATGAGGGTTGCAACCTCCTCCGCTCAGACAGGGCCTGTGGGTGTTCCCGCCGTATGACCCTGAGAGGGAGAAGTCGTCGTGGCCCAGGCTGCAGCTGGCCACTCCACTGCTGTAGCTGTGGGGAGGGAGCTCCATGCTGTAGGGAACATCTTGGATGTAAAGCCTGGACATTGAGCTCTCCATGGAGCCGAAGGCTTCGTCCACGTCTGGGCTTGGACAGAAGTGGACGCTGCTCTGGCTGCTGGAGTCTCTCTCATGGATGAACTGCTCACTGGGTGACGCCCTGTGTGGATGATCCTCTGTGCTCAGGGGCGGAGGTGTGGACGAGCTGTACCTGTGCTCCGGCTGATACCAAGCAGAGCAGAAGTGTGTGTCCTGCAGGCTCGGTTTGGGTGAGAGGTTCTTGGCTCTGTCTCTCAGCGCCCTCAGCTCATCAGCCACAGACAGCTGTGATTGGTTGGCCCTCTCTGGGTGGTAGAACTTGCACTTCACTCCATACGTACACTTCTTTCCTGAAAGAGAGAAACACGTTTTTTCCAGACTTTTGAAACTATAGCACCACATCATCATTTAACTTCCTGGAGAAAAAGGCAGATCTCTGTGGGTGTGTCTGTCTCTCTGTCTGTCTGTCTGTCTGTCTGTCTGTCTGTCTGTCTGTCTGTCTGTCTGTCTCTGTCTGTGTGTGTGTGTGTGTGTGTGTGTGTGTGTGTGTCTGTGTGTGTGTGCGCTTACGGCCTTACTGCACACCCTTTCAAACAAATTAGCTGTGTCTCTGACATGAACAAAATGAAACTCCAGCATGATTGAACTCCTCTGTTTGGCTCCTGTCCCCACAGTGAGGGATGGTGAGATTAGCTGAGGTGTGTCTGTTGACTGACACACCTCAGCTAATCCCACACACTAGTGACTGTCCCTCCATAACTTACATGTGCTCCAGCACACAGTCACAATGGCTCCATTCTACCTTGGTCTTCCAATGAGTAAATAGAATCTAGAATCTGAAGATTGTATTGTGTTGAAAATATCAAACCTCCAGTTAGGGCGATGTTTGTGGATGTTTGAGGACTTCCTCTTTGTGCTGAGACTGTTTTAGCCTTGTAAAATGTTTTCTGAACCAGTCAGATACTTAAAGTAATACACTGTATCTGTTGATGTTTTTATATGCTGCACTTTTCATATCTTTCTGTTTTGATGCCCCCGGACAGAACAAGGAAGTGGAACCTGAGCAGTGCTGCATGCTAAATGCTGGGAGAGAAATGTGAACTCACCGTATGGACAGTGCTGCAGCTTGTTGTCTGGGGTCTTGGGCTTCTTCTGTAGAAAGTCATCAAGGGTGGGACCATTTCTGCCCAGAGGATCATATGGAGGCATGAACCTGCAGCAGCACAGAGACACAGTTAGGATCAAGTCACATCGATCGAATTGATAGGGGCCCTGTGTTAATCTCCCTCCAGATCCATCACTCTTACTTGTCGTTGGCGAAGGTGTACATCAGCAGCCTCTCCTCTATAAACTTCTTCCACTGGGGGTTCTCCGTCTGCAGGTCACGGTAGTTGTCATTGGACACGATAATGCCGTCCAATTCGAAGGCCAGCTTGACAATGAAGCGATCATCGTAGCAGACCACCCTCTTTCCGTTCACGCAGCGAGATGGTGTGTAGACGAGGATCTTCTTTCTCTCCAGCTCATGGAGAATGTGCTGACCTACGAGACACATGACAACACTGGAGGTCATTTTCAAGCTCGTCTCCCTCATTCATTCAGACATGTTGCCTCTGATCCTGATCCAGCACACTTATGAGAGACAGGTTTGTTTAAGGTTAATTATAACATTACTTATGATATAATGAAAGTGGTAGCTGTGGCTCAGGAACTAGAGCGGTCATCCTCCAGCCAGAAGGTCGGCAGTTCAATCCCAGCCCTCCCACTGCACTGTATAAATGTGTGTTATTTGGTGAATGTAAAAACTGTACTGTGAAGCACTTTGAGTGGTCATTCAAAAAGAAAGAGAGCACCTGAAGGCAGGTACACAGAGGTTGAGCACCCTGGTAGCACACATGTAAAACAGTAAAATAGTATTCATGTGTCTTTCTCTTTACCAAATTTTATTTATCAATCTTTTTAAAATGTTTCCTCTGTAGAAAATGTTTGGAAAATGATTTGTCCATGTAAATAGAAGAATGAATTCATCAATTATGCATTTATTTTGTTTTATTAACTTCCCTTTGCTGAGGCTCACAATCAAGTTTTTTTTCCTTAAAAAATAAATATTTGTCTTTGTGTTTTCTGGGTAAGATCATTGGAAGGTTAATATAAGACCAGGTCATGCGCCTCAGGACCATGTTCCATAACCGTGAGATAACAGCAAACACAGCTGTGAAAACAAAGTCATGGTCTCGGTGAATAATGGCTGAAGGTTCACTTGTTTTTGATCTGCGTGGTGGATATCAGGCTTGGTATTAAATTCCAAATGCTCACTGAAAATGTCCCTGCAGACAAACAGATGTGTACAGAGACAGGTGAGCTCACGTTGCAGCACATATGAGTTCCTGTCTTTATGGCTTTACCCGTGTTT